AATACATGTGTTAATTAAAATCTGGTATCAAATCAAGTGATTGTATATTTCACACAATCCATTATCAATAATGTTAAGTTGCGAAATAAATTCACAGTTAATCTTTTTATATGCTTTCTATTAATTGCAAAGTATAAATATAAAAACAAATGAATGGTTTGAGTATAAATCAAATTAATATTTTAATACATGGAGCACTTGGTTAGTTTTCAATATTTTCACCATTATTGCTAATAAAGTTCGTACAATAGACTCATATTATTAACTAATAATGATAATAACTTATTATAGGTATTTATTTAATGGGATTTTTATATTTTTATCTCTTTGTTGAGTAGACAATACATAAAAAGATTAGTTTTTAAGTATAATAAAGATTTAACTTTTTATTGAATGCGAAACTGAGATTAAGTCCTTAAATGATAGTTTTTAAAGGTTAAGGTTTAGAGATAACTAATACTCTTTATATCAATTGTATACCTGTTTATTGTTTACTTTTATTGTTGTTTTACACAACTTTGACATAAGTGTACATTAGATAGTTTTTCATAGAAATCTTCAAACATTATTATTTTTGTAGATTTAATATTAAATAAATAATAATGTTCATAATTTAATCTAAAATTAAATAATTAATAATGTAAATTACTAATTATTTAAATATGGTTCGATAATTATATTGGTATATTAAAGTACTTTGCCATGTTACATAATAATATTGGTCACATTTATTTTGTCACACAATAGTATAGACTTTTGTGGTTTGAGTGCAAATATAATATGAAAAGAAGTGGGAGTTATTTAATGGACTTTCGCGTGAAATGAAACTCTTGAGGCATACAGAATGTAACCAAAGAAAGTAATTGATATAAAGTTGTGTATTATTTAAGTATACAGTAGTCAAACCTATAAATTTATATCCTGGTGATTAGGGCAGTCAATGTTCAATTTTATCAAAACTTTAAATCCATCACATTTCACATAATATTATTAGTGATAAAATTGCAGGATATTTACTAATTATTACTATACATTTAGCAACCAAAATCCATTTCACTATTATTATATAATCACAATAATTTGAAGGTTTAAAAGCTTGTTTTAAATATTTTATTAATCAATTTTATTAGGCAAATAATACTAAATGCCCAATAATGCCCAATTAATACGATAATGAATTTCATTGCCGTTTTTTCAAAGAAATAATAATTGAAAAACACTTAAGATTATATTGTAATCTTGTAAATGATTTAATAATAATCACATTATTATTATTTAATATTATTTTGTATTCAAGTATCAAATCAAATGACGCGAATTAGTGCTGGAAATCAATGAAAATGCAATCAATTTCAGCATTTTTATTGCCGATTATGAATAGATTTCAATTAACTTATTATTCTTTGTGTGAATCTCTGAAATACTTAATTACAAACAAGTGTCTGATGTGTAAAATGAAAGGATTTGATTTCTCGGTTCACACGAATCGTCCACTAATAGCATATATTTTATTGCTTTTCATAAATCAATGCATTTGCATATATGTGCCCCGAGATGTGATTGACGAGGACTCGTGTACACCGATTGACTTTTATGGTAATTTAGTCAAACATAATTTACTTATTTTTATAAATACTTTTAAAATATAAAATAATTTGAATGATGTGTGAATATAGCGGGTGATAGTTATGCTTATATAAACGATGACAATCGGTATGACATATGTAAAGACAAATACCGAACTTCATTTGATCCAAATGGCAATCAAATCCCTAGAGAAGTAATCACCACAATCTCAATACTATTACTTCAACTAACGTTAATATAATATAAATGTCAATTTCTTGATTGTAGTGTTTGGGTCCGTTTTGTAATTATTTCACGAGTCTTAACCCCTGTAAAACTCAATGCCCTCTCTATCCTAATCCGGTTCTTGTTATTCAACCCCTTCTTAATAACAATTCTACCGATGAAGAGGTGTATAGAAAACAACAGCTTTATTACGATTTTGATAATATGTGCACAAATGACAAATGCGCTAAAATTAAGACAACGTATTACAAAGAATTTGTATTAATCAAAGACCCGTCACAACAATGCGGTCCAAATCATGTAATTATAATACTATTTATGAACCATAAATTATAATATCTATATTTAAATTATATCTATTATTTCACTTATATATAGTTTTGTAATTTAAATGGCTGTTGCGTTATAAAGCCTCCAACACCACCCACTACTACCACAACTACCACAACCACCACAACCACTACAACTACTACAACCACCACAACAACCCCGACCACCACTACCACTACCACTACAACCCCAACTCCACCTACACCTACAACCCCGACCACTACTACTACTGAGAAGCCATTGANATAGTAATAATTAGTAAATATCCTGCAATTTTATCACTAATAATATTATGTGAAATGTGATGGATTTAAAGTTTTGATAAAATTGAACATTGACTGCCCTAATCACCAGGATATAAATTTATAGGTTTGACTACTGTATACTTAAATAATACACAACTTTATATCAATTACTTTCTTTGGTTACATTCTGTATGCCTCAAGAGTTTCATTTCACGCAAAAGTCCATTAAATAACTCCCACTTCTTTTCATATTATATTTGCACTCAAACCACAAAATACTATACTATTGTGTGACAAAATAAATGTGACCAATATTAATAATATAAAGTACTTTGGCATGGTAAAGTACTTTGGTATACCAATATAATTATCTAACCATTAAATAATTTACATTTTTAATTATTTAATTTTAGAGCAAGTTATAAACATTATTATTTATTTAATATTAAATCTACAAAAATAATAATGTTTAAAGATTTCTATGAAAAACTATCTAATGTACACTTATGTCAAAGTTGTGTAAAACAACAATAAAAGTAAACAATAAACAGGTATACAATTGATATAAAGAGTATTAGTTATCTCTAAACCTTAACCTTTAAAAAACTATCATTTAAGGGCTTAATCTCAGTTTCGCATTCAATAAAAAGTTAAATCTTTATTATACTTAAAAACTAATCTTTTTTATGTATTGTCTACTCGACGAAGAGATAAAAATATAAAAATCCCATTAAATATATACCTATAATAAGTTATTATCATTATTAGTTAACAGTGTCAGTCTAATATTGTACGAACTTTATTAGCAATACTGGTGAAAATATTGAAAACTAACCAAGTGCTCCATGTATTAAAATATTAATTTGATTTATACTCAAACCATTCATTAGTTTTTATATTTATACTTTACAATTAATAGAAAGCATATAAAAAGATTAACTGTGAATTTATTTCGCAACTTAACATTATTGATAATGGATTGTGTGAAATATACAATCACTTGATTTGATACCAGATTTTAATTAACACATGTATTACACAAAGAAATGAATGTACGAAAGCACGCGATACAGAAGTGGACAGTATATCTAAATTAGTGTTAGTAATTGGACCGACACTACTGTATAGTTGCCATTCAAGAGTCCAACAAAGCCTCGTATGAGTTAACGGAAACATTGAGGGACTGCTTGTATTCACTTAAAGTTATTTGCTAAGTTAAATAAACTGATAAATGTCAAAAGTTATATAAAACACCTATTGTCTACTTTAATAAGAAATATTCTTGACTTATAACAGAATTTAAAGAATGTGATCGTATAACTGTGTTATAATAAACAAATGAGATTTTACCATATTGTAGTCATTTTGTATTAAATTATCAATTTTTATACTGTATAAAGTTGTATAAAGGATTCAATTTAAAAATAAAATATATTTATTAATTTCTTACAAAATTGTCAAGATAAAACCATATTTATAAATTATAATTATAAATAAATAATACAATAATGATAAAATAATTATTATAATAAAACACAACAAAAATATTTTATGTATAAATTGAACCAAATTCTTAATGTATTAAATGGGGAAATAAAATGGATTAAAACAAACTAGTTTTAAATACATGTTGATTATTATTTAGGGACGTGGCTAACTCAAACTCATTGCGTTCTAGATTCAACTCTTAACTATGATATAACTAGATATAACTTAAACGATAAATGCAATAAATTATTACAAAATAATAAAATAAAAAACTGAGCAAAAAAATTGAGTTTTAATTGGAAACTCTTCCCAAAACAAAATGATTGTCTTTATTGGCGGGAACTGAATATCTGTCCACTTTGGATGGCTGTGCGGCGCCTGTATTACTATTACCACTGCCTCTGCCATCACGTTCACCGTCTTTGGGCATATCGTAGGCATATTTATTCACGTCATGTCTTAAGACAATGTATTCGTCGTCATTCTCTCGTGTCTTCTCTTTGTTGCCATTGGTCTGTGAGCTGTAGATCTCTCCGTAGTCTGGAATCTTTGATTTGTAGTTTGAAACTTGTTCTACAATTAAGACATTAAATAAACTTAAAAATATCAATAAATGTCAAGACATACCAGTTTTGCCAGAATTCTGGCCGAAGTCGACGACAATCTCTCCGGAATCGAAGTTAAGACTTAGGGGTCGGACGTGTTGTGCCATTGTTAAGCTAACGTTCAATTTGTCAAAGTTTTCGTTTTGGCCGTCGTTTAACCGCACTGTATCTAAGTTGTAATGTCTTGGCTGACCATTGCGTCCATTATGGTTAATATCCCAGTTGTTAGTCGACTGGAGCGGAGGGGGCATTACTGATGGCATCGGACGAATCGGTTGCGGCATTACGTACGGCACTGGCGTTGAGGTTATGATAGGTTTCCAGGGAGTGTTGATGGGCTGAATGGGTGTCGGATTTAATGTCTGCGGTTGATAATTGCTGCGATAATTTGTGACTCCATTGCTCGATAGGAATCGCTCCAGAAGTGGGAATTCAGAGCCGCCGCCGGAGCTCTTGGGTGCGGGCGGATAAGGCCAGGCGACGGGTGCTTCAAACGATATGGGACCGCCCATTGGAGGCGCCGGCACTGGTGGCTGGCGTACAACTGGAGCCTCAGTTGAGTAATACTGAGAATAATTGGGAACTTTTGGTGAATTGTTGGTGTTTTGTGTGCTTTGTTTGGTTAGACTCAATAGGAATCGTTCCAACATTTGGTCCGGACTTTGTTTGGAGTCCTGAGTAGTCGCACATTCCGATCGGTTAACCATTAAACTGATTGTCACATAAATTAGTGACAATACTATAAACTGAAAACATAATAAAAGTTTTTAAATTAATAATTAGAAAATATTTTTTTATTGAAAACCATAATAGACTCGTTGTATTACTTTTATAAACATTTTAAATATATTTAATTAAAAAACTATGATTTATAAGATGTGAAGACAAACACAAACTTAAGTGAATTAAATTTGCGAAGAGAATGAAAGTGTGAATTGATTTATAAATTTTAATATTAAATTTATTTGCATTCTTTTGGGCCGTAAAACAACTTTCGAAATGAACTCAAATTTTTCTCACTTATCAAAGGCTGGCATCAAATAAATTAAGGAAATGAAAGCAAATGCGAATAAAACAATATTTAAAGAAAAATCATCAAAAAACAAATCATTTATCGATTGAGGAAAAGGCTTAATAAAAGTTATGAATTAAATGTAAAGAAATATTTGGACAATAATTGCAAGACAAGAATTTAATGAGTTTTAATTATAAATCTATTAAATCTACAGTACATTTAGTATTACATTTAATCTGTCATCAAATTCGTCGGCTTTTATTCAATACATGTCTGCAAACCAAATGGAAAACACATTATAGAGAACACATAATTAGTCTATAATATAGACTAATTATAAGATTACTTTCTAATCATTAAAATTATGTTTGATTGAAAATATGTCTCCAGACAGTGGAGAGTGAGTGGGAGAGAAAGAGTGTAAGAAGACATTAATATTTACTGTTTAATCATTATTTGAAATTTATTAACTGAAAATGAAATAAAACTAAAGATTTATGAAGACTAAAACAATTCAAAACAATTAGTATATCAATAATATATGAGACCAATACAGTAAACGCAATAAAAGAAGTTCACGGTAAATCGATCTATAATTAACTAATTGTAATTTTACACATATTGTTATAAATATAATTTATATATAAAGTATGTACAGTATTACATGTGCTGTATGTATTAAATGTAAAATTAAATGTTAAATAAAAATAAAAATTAAATTTGTTAAAAATTGACAATGAATGTTTAAGCAATAGACTAAAGTACACTGTAAAGTCCTACACTGTACAGTGTACTGTACAGTATACTGTACTAAATTTTGAACTAAAATTTTGAAATAATTTACTTAAAAATGCATTAGTATTACAAAAATTTAAATAAAGTATTCAACACTAACATAGAAATACATTATTGAAGCAAACGGATTAAGATTTGTAATTCTAATTTTTAAAATATTATGTTATTGTGTTAATTGAATTTATAAAAAATATTGATTATAAACCTTGAATATTATTTTATTTAACAATACATTATTTTTTATCAGACTTTAATATCAGACTGATTGTTAAATTTGTAAAATAGATCTCAGAATCGGATATAGGAAATAGTTTTTTGTCGCCAATCATTTCCTCATAACCGGAGAATACTATATAACATATATTTATAAAATTATAATTTTTAAGATTATAATAATTATTGTATAATATTATAAATTATAAATATAACTTAGATTTCATATTAGACTTTCATTAATACACATGCATTACATAACCTATTTTTAAACCAATTAATTGAAAAAAACATATGAAACACATGAGTGAAGAATATTTATAAATGTTTGACTATATATTACAGGAAGAGATCACACATAATGAAGGAATTTATATATGATTTAATAATTATTAATAATCAAGCCTTTGGCTGTTTATGAGGTAAACATTTGTTTTTCAATTAACAAAACAAAAGCGCTAAAAATATGTGCGTTTTATACAGTATTTAATTACTATAATCGGGTCAATAAACTCAATTAGGTTTAATTTGATCTTATTCATTTATGCCATTTTTCTCAACTTAAATCAACCGTAAGCTATTGTGTTTAAAAATATGTGCGTTTTATACAGTATTTAATTACTATAATCGGGTCAATAAACTCAATTAGGTTTAATTTGATCTTATTCATTTATGCCATTTTTCTCAACTTAAATCAACCGTAAGCTATTGTGTTAACTGTGATCCCTAGTTTTTTTTTACCAAGAGCTGCTATATACACTGTATGCTAATAAACTATTATTTATTTAATCTGATTTATAAAATGAATAATTCAATTATTTATTATAACTTTATCATTAATAAAAATGTAAAGTTTTTATAAAATAAAATTTACATTTTTATTAGAGTTTTATCATATTTACATGAGTTTTATGTAAAAATTTGCCAGAAAGTAAAAATTATGTTTTATTATTATTATAAAAATATTTTGATATAAAAGTTATGTCATAAAAATTTCAATTATTTATT